AAAGAGTGTCGGCAGCTCTCTGCACAGATGCGGGATTCGTAAGCCCGAAACCATCCCATTTCCATGCCGATAGCTTTGCTGCTCTTTAGTCATTCTTGCCTTTGTTTACCTGAGTCGCTCTCAGCACCAGAGAAGAGAATATATTTAAAAATAGGAAAATATTATTGTAAAACCACAGCAATTAGCAGTCATGCTACTTTAAACAACTAATTCATTCTTAAAATAGACTAGGATTTCAAGTTGACTGTTTGCCCTTAAATTCTGTTTAAACAGAAATCATTTGGGAGATAAACAGCAGAGTGTACTGTTTCAGCAGAATATTGCATTGCTTGTCCTTTGCCAGATGTTGACAAAAAGCCTCCAGATGCTGTCTGTGAGTGAATGCTCCTGCACCCTGTCACACAGTCCCTCAAAACAACCTTCAAACGCCACGGCCAGAACCAAGCATGAAATAGCTCGTTCAGTCTCTTCACGCTTTCTTGAAACAACCATCTTCTGCCTTTAAAAGGCCCTGATTCAGCAAGGTATTTAAATATGTATTTCAACTTTAAGCATCTGCTTAAATGGATTGCTATTCAGCAAAGCACTTAGGCACTTTTTAATCACATACTTAAGTGCTTTGCTGAATCAGGGCCTACGTGCTTCCTTCACAAGGTTCTCGTTACTCCCTAGAGTTATTCCTTTGACAAACTAACCAAGTGTTGTGCTGTTACTGCCGTGTGCTGCTTCTGCAGTGCTACCGTCCAGGAGCTGGAGTCTGCTTGCTTTGCTGCAGGCATTCAAATTATAATTCAAATCAAACAAAAATCCAAATAGATTTTCATGGAGGAGCCCCAAATTCCTGCGAAGACAAATTTGCCTGTGCTAAGAGGAATCTAGAGGTTAATCTGCCAAAAGAAAAAGCCATTTTTGGGAATGACGAAGATGGTAAAGCTGTTTGGGAGTGCTCTCTGTGCTAGTGCAGCATATCTGTGCCATCAGCTCAAGTGTATTTTCTCAAGCTTCCAGTACTTCATTTTTGCTTGGAGCACAGAAGTGGTAATTAGTCTGGAATAAAATGTTGGGTTGTGCTCAAGGATCATGATACAATCCCATCCAGCACTTCCAATATTGGATTAGACAACAGCATGAAGAGCATTGTGCTGATGTACAACACTGGCTAAAGCCAATATGAAGATTATTATTACCATGTTTTCTCACATACCACACCCCCACGAACAAGACACACACCTTGTTTTGGGATGGCAGAATGAAGAAAAACTATTCCCAGAGCCCTTGCTACCATAGCATGGGCTAATCATGGCTGAATGTGGAAATGCAGCAGTAGCTGGGGCACAGCTAAAGCTTGAACTTTGCAAGGAGAGGGTGAGAGATGCCGAGCCTGCATCTCCTGCATGCACTGGGGAAGGCAGTTCAGTCTCAGCAGCCATTACAGAGTCCCTGTGCCTCCATTCTGGCATGGAAATCAACTTTCTTGCTTAAAACATCCCCCCTCCCCCAATTTTAGATGGCTAAATTTTGGGGGGAAGGTGTGTGTAGTATGCAAGTGAAGACAGATTATTATTTGCATTATAGTGACACCAAGACTTTGAAGCCCCTAGTTTGGCAGGTGCTAAATGTAAATGACTCCACAGCTGATTAGTCTCTAGGTTCATTAAGTTATTTCTGTGTCCTGTTTCTGGCCAGGTAAAATAACTCATTACAAAAAAGTATTAAAAGTTGTGTATAGTCTTCAAAATGACCATCTCCTTGTGCAGCAGTTCATTTCCACGCTTTCAGCTATCCTGTGTTTCAAGCATAGTGGGTTAATTGTGTCAGGACTCATGCCTGAATGAAGAGTACCGCTAGTGATTGTAGTATCATAGGAAAGCAGGGCTAGAAGGGACCTCAGGAGGTCAGCGAACCCTGCCTCCTGATCCAGGCAGGATCATCCCAGCCAAGTGTCTGTCCGGTCTGCTCTTGAAAATGTCCAGGGATGGGGATTGCACAACTTCTCCAAGTAGCCTAGCCTGGTCCAGTGCTTGACCACCCTCATAGTTAGAAAGTTCTTCTGAATCACCAACCTAAATTTGCTCCTTGCAGCTTGAGGTCATTGTTCCTAGTCCTGTCCCCTGTTCGCTACCTAGATTGAGAGGTGGTGAAACTGCTACTTGGCTTTGGTCTAATCAGGATTTGATACGACACCACTTTAGTCAGGAGGAGCTGGTGTGGCAGCCCTTCCTCCTGCACCTCACTGATTTCACGGACAGTGAAGAATTAAGGAAAGTGTTACCGTCTGTGAGGACTGAAATACCCCTCTGTAAAACGGCAGTGCATACATTGAAATCTTTTGCAGTCACAAGACTGAAGAAGCATGAACTCTTTCTGTCTGTGGTGGTCTTGCTTCTCAGTGCTGCTGCTTCAGTGTTTTGAGTTGCACGTCAGGCATACGGCAAGTGAGCAGGGGCACAGCAGGCTCCCGGCTCTGCGGAGAGGGTGCTCCGGCGGGGGCGGCAGCTATTGAGGGTACTGCGGGCCTGCCATGGAGCCTTCAGCGCTACAGAGGTCCGTGCCAGCCATGTCTGTCATGGGAGCAGGGATTGCACTCTTCTCCACACAAGGCCTCTGAATCCTAGCTCTCTTTATGACAATGCACCCCATAATTTTCCCTCCTTCCTTTCCCTGGTATGTGCAGCACCCCACTTTTTTCTTCACTGTGGTTAAAATAACTCGCATTACTTTTGCAGGAGACCACAGAGGTACCCCTCACTTTTGCAAAACCAGACATCAGGCAGGCTAATCCAAGGGAGCAGG